CTTACCACATTAAGGATACAACATCAGCTGCAGCAGTAGGGATGACAGCCTTCTCCTCTGTTGTAGGATTTTCCAAGCACTTAGAAAAAGACAGACAACAAAGGAGAGAAGAAAAAGAGCATAACAAGAAAGCCCGGACAACGGGCAGATTTAAAGGTACACCTAGCGGAGATGGAAGGGATTCCTCTAATAAGGAGTCATTAGCACCAGCTCAGTCCAGTCATCAGTCAGGTGGTGGGTCTTCCTTCAGACGTACTCAGAGTTATGGAAATTAGTCTCGCCAGAATCAGAATTTTTGGACATCATCCTCACATAGCCAGAGTCATGCTGAGCAACATTCACACCAACAAGGTTTTTGTGGAACATGTAAGCGGCAACATTCAGGTCAGTGCAAGCTCGGGTTTCATGGTTGCTATCATTGTGGAGACATTGGTCATATAAAGGCCAACTGCCCAAAGTTGCGACGTAATTTCAGTGGTGGATCAACTCGTCCTTCTAGTTCCTCAGCTACTGTAGTTGCACCACCCCAGGCTCATGGTTCTCATAATCAGGCCGTGCATGGGGCAGGCAGAGATGCAGATCGAGTTACTCAGGGAAGGGGACAACTCCGTTTGTTTGCTACACTTGATCGTCAGAGTACAGAGGCATCTGCAGAAGTTATTACAGGTATACTTTTAGTCTGCTCACATAATGCTTATGCCATAATGGGTCCAGGTTCAACGCTTTCATATGTGACTCCATACTTTGCAATTAACCTCGAACTAGAACCTGAACAACTTACTGAGCCATTCCTAGTATCTACTCCAGTTGGCGAGTCATTGAAAGTCACCAGAGTCTATAGAGGTTGTATCGTTTCAGTCCAAGGTCGCAACACCAAAGCCGATCTCATAAAGTTAGAAATGGTGGATTTTGATGTGATCATGGGTATAGATTGGTTGTCTTCCTGCTATGCCATGTTAGATTGTCATGCCAAGATAGTCAGGTTCCAATTTCCAAATGAAGAAGTCTTAGAGTGGAAGGGTAGTTCAGTATTGCTTGTAGGTAAGTTTATTTCTTACCTTAAGGCACAACGAATGATCGGTAAGGGGTGTCTCGCCTATTTGGCTCACATCATTAATCCAGAATCAGAACCACCAACTCTTCAGTCTGTGCCAGTTGTTAGAGAATTTCCAGAAGTTTTCCCAGATGACCTTCCCGGACTTCCTCCCGAAAGAATCATAGACTTTGGCATTGATCTCATGCCAGGCACTCAACCCATATCTATACCTCCTTATAGGATGGATCCAGCAGAACTTAATGAGTTGAGAGAACAGTTGAAAGACCTTCTTGACAAGGGCTTCATCAGGCCGAGTGTTTCACCGTGGGGTGCCCCGGTCCTGTTTGTTAAGAAGAAAGATGGGTCTCTCAGAATGTGCGTCGACTATTGGTAGTTGAATAAAGTTACCATTAAGAACAAGTACCCACTGCCAGGAATTGATGATTTATTTGATCAACTTCAGGTGAAAAGTACTTTTCAAAAATAGACTTGAGGTCGGGGTACCATCAGTTGAGAATCAGAGAAGAGGATATATCTAAAACAGCCTTTAGCACTCGCTACGGGCACTATGAATTTCTAGTGATGTCCTTCGGGTTGACAATCCAGTTGCATTCATGGACCTCATGAACAGAGTTTTCAAGCCATTCCTTGATACCTTTATTATCGTGTTTATAGACGATATTTTGGTATACTCTAAGAGCAAGGAAGATCATGCAGAACACCTCAGAATAGCCTTACAGGCCTTGAAGGAGAATGAGCTTTATGCCAAGTTTTCAAAATGTGAGTTCTGGTTGCAGTCAGTGGCATTCTTAGGCCACGTGGTATCTAGTGAAGGCATAAAAGTAGACCCTCATAAGACAGAAGCAGTCAAAAACTGCCCAAGGCCGACAACGCCAACCGAAATCAGAAGTTTCTTGGGGTTAGCTGGCTACTATAGAAGGTTTGTAGAGGGGTTTCCTCACTTGCAGCTCCATTAACTAAGTTGACTCAGAAAGCAGTTAAGTTCCAGTGGTCAGACACTTGTGAGCAGAGTTTTCAAGAGTTAAAGAAGAGGTTGACCACTGTACCTGTATTAACCTTGCCGACAGGTTCGGGTGGGTTCACAGTGTATTATGACGCCTCCAGAGTTGGTCTTGGTTGTGTTCTTATGCAAAATGGAAAAGTTATTGCTTATACTTCCAGGCAGTTAAAGAATCATGAAAGGAACTACCCCACACACGACTTGGAGCTTGCAGCAGTGGTGTTTGCATTAAAGATATGGCGACATTACCTTTATGGCGAGCATTCTGAAGTGTTTACAGATCACAAAAGCCTCCGGTATATTTTCAAGCAAAAAGAATTAAATTTGAGACAGAGAAGGTGGCTCGAGCTACTGAAAGATTATGACATCAATATCCTTTATCGCCCGGGTAAAGCTAATGTGGTAGCAGATGCACTTAGTAGGAAGTCAATGGGTGTCTTGGCCCATCTTGCAGTGCAAAGGCAAACTTTGGGTCGAGAAATTCAAAAACTGGCAAATGATGGGGTTAGTCTGGATGAGACCAAAGAAGGAGGTATAGCTGCTTATGCCTTAACGCAATCCTTTTTAGTTGCGCACGTTAAGGCTAAGCAAGACGAAGATCCGTACTTAGTGAAGGTAAAAGAAGGAGTTAGAAACAAAGAAATCACTGCTTTCACTCTAGGAAGTAACGGAGTTTTGAAGTTGAATGATCGGTTATGTGTGCCTGATGTAGATGGTCTTAGAAAGGCCATAATGGAAGAAGCTCACAGTTCGAGATACTCCATCCACCCATGTGCTACCAAAATGTATCTCGACTTGAAAGGGTTGTATTGGTGGAAAGGCATGAAGAAGAAAGTAGCAGATCATGTGGCTAAATGTTTGAACTGCCAGCAAGTTAAAGCTGAGCATAAGAGGCCTGGTGGCCTAGCTCAAGATATAGAAATACCACAGTGAAAATGGGAGATGATTAATATGGATTTCGTAGTAGGTCTACCTCGTACATACCGTAAGCATGATTCAATTTGGGTTATTGTAGACCGACTAACAAAGTCCGCGCATTTCCTACCAGTAAAGACGACAGATTCTGCAAAGCAGTATGCGCAGTTGTACATCAACGAAATAGTCTGATTGCAAGGTACTCTAGTTTCAATCATATCTGACAGAGGCCCTCAGTTCACAGCGCATTTTTGGCAAGCATTTCAGAAAAGATTAGGTACCAAGGTCAATTTGAGCACCACTTTCCATCCACAGACCGATGGCCAGGCAGAAAGGACCATTCAGACTCTCGAAGATATGCTGCGTGCGTGTGTTATAGATTTTGGAGGTAATTGGGATGATCACTTGCCACTTATAGAATTTGCTTACAATAACAGCTATCAGGCCAGCATTGGTATGGCTCCTTATGAAGCGATGTATGGGCGAAGATGTAGGTCTCCAGTGGGTTGGTTTAAACCAGCAGAGGTGTCATTGATCGGTCCAGAGTTTGTTTGTGAGGCCTTAGAGAAAGTTCGGCTAATCAAAGAAAGACCGAAAGCGGCTTAAAGTCGTCAAAAGTCTTATTCTGACAAGAGGCATCGTGAATTAGAGTTCATGGTTGGTGATAAGGTATTTTTGAAAGTTTCACCAATGAAAGGAGTTATGAGATTTGGTAAGAAAGGGAAACTTAGTCCTAGATTTATCGGACCTTATGAAATTCTAGAAAAGAAAGGAAGCGTGGCTTATGAGCTAGCGCTACCCGTTCAGTTGTCCTCTGTCCATCCTGTCTTTCATGTGTCTATGCTTAGAAAGTACATTCATGATGAGTCGCATATAATACCTGCCAATACCATAGAAATTAAAGAAGGCTTGACTTATGAAGAGGTACCTATAGAAATCCTTGATAGGCAAGTAAGAAAGTTGAGAACAAAAAATTTAGCATCGGTAAAAGTGTTGTGGAGTAATCATGATTCAAAAGAAGCTACATGGGAGGTCGAAGAAGATATAAGGAAGAAATATCCATATTTATTTGAGGAAAAAGGTATGTGAACCTAGGTTTGGATTGGCCTTTATATTTTATTTATTAAATACAAGTTAGCATGTGTTAATGTCTTTGCTAGGTTATACTTAGTTATTGAAGTAAATTAGTTTTGTCATAGTATATTTAGTTATTTAATAATTTAGTGCCATGCCAGAGTACATTTAACTCATTAAAGTGATTTACCTTTGCTAAAGTGTTGTGCTTTAGATTCTTGTTGGTTATTGTGGTACCTCCTAGCCAGAGTGTGAGTAATAAATTTATGAGTTGTGTATGGTGCCTATAAATGGCTTNTTCGAGACACGCTAATTATAGAACTAAATTATTATTATTATTATTATTATTTTATTTTTCTTGCCTATAGTGAAAAAATAAATACAAATACTATATATATATATATATATATATATATATATATATATACATTTAAATAATTGAATATATAATTAGGGAATACTAATATTGTTAATATTACTAATTACTAAGAATAAGTATCATTAATTATTAATTAAATTAAAAAGAAAAAGAAAGAAAAAAAAAGAGAAGGGAAAATCCTAAAGCCCATAAGGCAAAGCCTAAAACAAAACAAAAGAAAGAAAAAGCCTGAAGGCTAAAAAGCCTTAACAGAACAAAAAAAAGCTAAAAGTGCATTCAGCAGAAGGCTAAGAAGTCTTACACGATAAATTGAAACAGAGCACTACGAAACAGAGGCAGCGACTCAGTCAACGAAAGAAAAAAAAATTTAGGGTTCTTTACAAATCACTTATTTGTGAATTTAGGTATATAAAATTCCCTATTGTCAATTACCCTACAATAGTAATAGGTAAGAATTGAATAGTTAATTCCCTTCTTCCTCTATATCAACAATAAATTTCATGTTTAGGTGTAAAATTGTAAAATTGATTAAAATGCACTGGTTGTTGTAGAATCGATTGTTTGACTGGTGTCAATTGGACTGGGGCCTACTGGCTCGAGAAGTTTTGAGGTGAGTTGATATAACCCTTTACTAAAGTGGTTTAAGTCACAAAAGCACACATACAAGGTATTTGTTGAATTGCATAAAGGAGTTAATATATACTTAATTGGAGTAGTAAGTACCTATTAGCTTAGAATTATTTTCTAGCTAAAGTTTAGATGATTATTTTGATAAATGTGCATAAATTTCAGATTTTTGTGTTACTCTTATATGCCATCTTCACGTTGAAAATTCATGAAGGATCAAGAATCTTTATAAATACTTTTGAATGTTTATTTCATTCTTATGCCATGCCTTACATTTAAGGATACGAGTATGAGTATGTATAAAAGAATTAGACTTGAAAAGTATAAGAGATCCACTGGTGCTCCCAAGTAACAATTGTAGCTTGAATAGACAATGCAAAAGGTAAAAATTTTGTGGAGCTTAATTAAACTGTTTTGTAATAGTATTTGATGCTAGACGAGGTGACACATAACTAATCGAGGAGAAAGTGCTTGCATTTCATGTGATTGGAATGTCTTCCTGATATAGAGTTGTTACATGTAAAAGTTGGAGTAGTACAAGGCAAGCAGCTGCAGAGCACTGAAAAATTGTCTAGCAATTGCAATGCTCTAATGGATATTTCGACACTTGATTGAATTTTAAGCTAAGGATTATCAAAGACCTGTGATCTTAATCACTTGTGTTTTCTGATGTGTAAAGTGCTCTGATTTGAAGTTGTTTTGACTATTATACCAGTTGGATATCATTCCGTCAGAATCTTGTCTAATCTGAGAAGGAAAACGATAATCTTAAATGAAGATAGCTTGGATATTCAACATGAGCTCTAGTATTTCTTGGTGATATTTAAAGGAGGACAAATAGCTTGCATTTTTAGCAGTATCTTTGTCAGTCATGCTGACTAAGAGCAAAAACTTGTGAAGTTTTAGAAAGAAAAGATTTTTTTTGGGAGTATCCTTTATTCTAGGAAGGGGTCATCGTCCAGGCCTAGGGTCCTGACCAAGGCGTTGACTTCCTGAAACTACTTGTGACAAAGTAGGGAGCACACGAGCTGAGGGTCTCGTTGCTGAGAATTTACTTAGCCATGCTAAGGTATGATACATGAGCGCTGAGAACCATGAAGCGAGTGGCACCTCGTGGATTGGGCCTATTCGATCAGGTTGGGATCGAACTCGTGCCGATCACACGGTGACTGAGACAGAATGAAGTCAGGATAGTTGGAACTCCCAAAGTATAAACTGAAGTATTTTTTTTATAAGAAAGAAAAGAAAAGAATTTCTCTTAGAATATTCATAAACTGCTATTATGCAATTATTTTAGATGGATGGTACTGACGTTCTCTTTTGGGAACCTATGTTGGTCTACGGTACAACGTAGGAATCGGTTTTGCAGGCGAGCAGGCTACTGGTTAGGACTTCTTTCTCTTCCAGTGATATTGGTGAGCTCCGCTTTTGTTCGTGGAGTATTCCTTAGAATTATCTTTATTTAGTTATTTCTTTGTTTACTTAGAGAACTAGCCAGGAAATCTCATGTCCTGAGCAGCGTCAGTTTATCAGTAGAGGCTTCATAGACATAGTCGTTGGGTTATGATTCAGATGTTTTTGATAATAACTTAGCAGTAATTCAGTAGTTACTACGAATAAAGTTTTGGAGTTGATTTATTTAAATATTTAAATTAAATCAAAAGTATTTGGGTAGAGTATTGCCTTGTTAAATATAAAGTTTGGAGTTATAATAGATTTGATAAGAAGAGAGGGTTCAGAAAATGGGTCGTGACACTTGATTTTGTCATCAATTCCACAAAAGAGCAGTAACCCGAGTAAGTATACGGATTTTGAGCTCGGAACCGGTCGGGTAATCGGGCTTTACCAGAAACAGTTTCAGTAGCTGCATGATGCGTACCAAAACAGGTGCTTTAATGGCAAAATCATTTGATTCCCAGAAATACCTTAAGAGAATCGGATTAGGCAAAAAAGATTATCACTTTTGGAAGCAAGTGGGAAAGGCTTTGCTATGTACATACACGTTGTTCGGGATAGCATGGCTTTGGAATGAAACGTCGCCGCTTGGTTGGTGGACCTTAAAGCCAAAGCCCAAAGAAGAAAAGGAACTAGCACACCTTTATGAACGCAGGAAATTTCCATATCCGGGTGACGAGAAGGCAATGGAAGAGTTCGTCGCCAAAGGTGGAATGATTGGTACTACAATTGGTCCTAAAGGAATCGTTGAATCTGATAAAGATTCGTTTAATTATCAGAAAGTATTGCAGGATAAGAAATTTGAGCAAGAAGCCTTCAAGCTGTGGATCAGGATGAGGAATGAAGTCATTTCTGAGCTACAAGAGAAAGGATATGATGCAGAGTGAGTGAATTTATTTAATTCTTGTATTTTCTTTTGCAAATTAGTATGTAAGTAGTATTGTATTCTGGATTCTAGAGTTGAACATATTTGCAGTGTGAGGAATTATGGAATAAGGTTTTAACTATTTTAGCTCAATCAAGTGTTATTATCGGATATGGTGGACCATTGCCATTTTGTAGTGTTAACAACTTTAATGTCATTTGTCATTTTAACAAAAAATAGTGTTAACCAGACAGTTTTACCAAACACATCAACTGCGTATTTTCAGCTTCAGCTTCAGCACTTAAAAAGTGCTTTTGAGCCCAAGTGCTTTACTTTTATTCAGCTAACCCAAACGGGCTCTTAATCTGCAGAATGTGATTTTCTTCCTTGTCAAAGTCTTAGGATGCAGAATGTGATTTCCTTGACATCAATTGATATGATGCTATACTTGTGAACTCATTAGTTTTGTTGTTCAAATGTGTACTGATTATCTTAAAGTTTCTCGGCCTAGATCACCTCCTTGTTGCTCTCTTTGATTATCTAAGAACTCATTAGTTTTGTCGTAACGTCGTTGAAATTGACGTGTTCTCAGCAATACTGTTCATGGTCATTTATGTTCATGTAATCCTCTTTCTCTTTGAAAAGTTTGAACTTGGACACTCTGCATTGACCGGATAGTGCATGTACTGGATTTATTTATGCATTCTAGCTGATGTTTTATAATAAATGAGTTGGTAAGAGAACTCGACGCACATTCATCCTTTATTATTTTATACAAAAACTATACTTCACCAAGATTTTTGCCTTTTTCTTCACTGTAGTCACTCTACAGTTGAATGATGTTACAAGAGAACGAATTGTATCTCTTATAAATTTGTGAATATCTGCTACCCCATGACCATGTCTGAGTTTCATATTTCCAGAAGGAAATAATATGCCAAAGCAATTGGTATTGCGATAAGCATGCCAAAGATTACCCTACAATCAGAATGAAACCACATCAAAAATCATATCTGCTTGAAATGTTCTTAGTGAAGAAATTAAAAGTTCGAGTTGATAATTCTATCTGGTACCCTGTACTTAAGATGGTAGGATGTATGTTATATTCCTTGGCAAACACAAACGGAACGATTCCTTGGGGAAGGGCTGCCTGCAATACCAAGTACAGTGTTAACTAATCTGCCATGAATCGACAACAGAAAACAATATACTTTCACCTGCACTATCGCCAATTTTAGCAATTTTCCCCTTAGTCCAACAGCAATAGATGAGATTGCCATGAGTACAGGTCCAAGAACAAACTTTAGTGCCATTGCTAATATTGCTTTTCTGGTTCCGCATGCTATAATACTAGCTTGGGATGCCATGAAAACACCTGTTGAATTAGTACAATATGAGTAGTTGAGCCATTTTCTTTCTCGTTGATACTCTAGTAATTCATGCAGTGAGTGCTTTTTATCCATTGTACCTATGCTAAACATTGCCATTCCTAGCCCTCCATCTGAAAGTATTGATATTGATCGTCCAACAATTGTTGGTAGATTGATTCCCCACCTGCACTTCATTTTGTGTAAACAAAGAAGTCCACTGATTTTTAATGAGGAGTTTTTAAAGAAGATAGATTTGTATTTGTAGAGATGCTTAATAAGGCTTTACCTGAAGTGTATGCTTGACCAAATAATACCCGCCAGAGTTGCATGTGTATTAGGATTTATTATGAGTTTCCTTCCAACTGTTAGAAGAATTAGCATAATCTTTGTCTTCCTTGGGCATATGGCTTTTGCTTCCTCCTCCCGGTCCTCTTCCAGTTCTGATTCTTCAGGGACCTCGAGCTCAACTTTCAGTGGCAGAATATATATTTCATAAGACAAAGAGCAAGCATATTGATGTTTGCTTTAATAGTTGTCACGTCGGATTTCTAGAAATTGTCATGCTGAAGATCATGGATAAACAAAGATACTAACAGCTTAAACTACCTGATCTCCTTTACATTTCTGTTGGGGTTGGCCATCATTTTAAACTTAATCGCTAACTTCTAATGAGCTGTCCTTTTTTTCTTCTTCTTCTTCTTTCATTTTGTCTTTGGAGACCGGGCTTTTGGGGGGGGGGGGGGGGGGGTAAAAAGGAGTTGGAAAAAGCAAGCTGGATGGATGCATGATATAGTAGTTTGGTTAGTTCCAAACTTCCGGAACCAATTATGACTACTGTCTAACTCTGTCACTGTTGAATGGGTTGTCTAAGCAAACTTCCTGTTTGTTTCATTTAGGTGAGTTGAAAGTGCATCTGTCTCTCGCAATTAGATGGGTCATATCACTGTAGAGCAAACTTATATTTCACTGAAACTAGTTTAGAAAATTAAAAAGGAGCATTTCACAAATTGAGCACATGCTACACGATATCACAAATTATTTTATCTAGAAATCATATGATACAGGATAATCAGTGGGGCCCAGAATAAGATTCTCTTTTCACTTTAACACATTTGTAATCTAATGCTTTCTGGTTCTTAACAGTTAAAATTGGAGTGCTTTAAATAGGTTCTGTTAAACAGATGCCATCCAAATAAATTCCAACATTTAGAAACCATTGTTCTGTTATCTGTGTACATACCTGCTACTTCTGATGGTGATGGCATATAAGATTCTTTTGTTGCGTTGAGCTCGAACAAGAATAGTAGGAGGTTGTACCAAATTAAACTCTGTAGTACAATAATCTGCACTAGTAGTTCTGCTGCTGCATCACCAAAAATGGCCTTTACTAGTGGAATCCCCAAGATTAAGGTGTTTGGAAGGGTTGAAACCGAAAGACCTGTTATGATCCAAGTCAGTTTTCCTTTGGGCTTCAGTTTGGCAAAAACTGCCAGTAGAAAGACAGCAACAAATTTTTGTATGAAATCTGCTAATAGAAGCTTCAGGTTTACTTTGTAGAGGTTGCTTTCTGATATCACTTGGAAGGATAATAAAGGTATTGAAAATTTCGCCACAAACTTGTTGATGCCAGAGCATTGCTCTGGTGAAAAGAGTTTCCACCACCTTACGGAGATATAGGCTAAGATCATGACGACATATAAAGGGATAGTGGCTGCCACAACATGGTAGACATCACGTAGGGATATCATGGTACTTCTTGTTTGATTTTCATATCTTGAAACCTTGGTAACAGGGCCTTTTATGCTGTTTAGTTTGCTTTATTGGCATATGCTGGGAAAGTGAAGACTACATCTTTCCGCTGAAGCTTTCTGACTAATCATTTTTAGTTTTATCCCAGCATATTTTGATTATCATTATATAAAAGTATTTACTAATTTATGGCTTTGTAGATTCACATACAATGCAGAAAGTAATTTGCTTTCCCCGTGCGTGTGTCTCCCCTCAGATAATGCACCTTTTTAGGCTGTAAATTTGATATTACTGATGTTTATCATGTTTACATGCTCAAAATGCAAGTGTATCTAATCTTGTTTAGCCAAAAAGTTTATTCTGTTTTTCTTCATGTGGTTAAACCCTTTTTGCTCATTTCTTCATGTGACATAGGTGTTTGCCTAAACCTATCTCAATAGGCTGGAAATAGTAAGCTCTACATGCTTTAATATTTCTCCTGTTTTGTACCCCACTTGCACTTTATTTTCCTATAAGTTTTCATTTAGGAAGAGGTATTGTACTGTACTTTACATGCAGTGATCTATACTGCACCAAAATGCCTTGATTAGACAGTTGAACTATTTGTCTTTACTTCGATGGCAGCAAAATTCAGGAAAAAAACTGTTAAGTGATCCTGCCTAATGCGTATATCTTAATTTATGCAGTTGCATAGACTAGAGTTTAGCTTCCAGGTTATCTGAAAAGTATGCTAGGAGAATAAAGAAGTGAATTGCAAAAGAAGTAACTGACTTGATGAGTAAACAACGTTCCTGAAGTAAGAATTTTTGCTATATATGGTCAAAGTTTTGGAATAAGTATTACAGGGTTTTGCTTTTATAGGTACGAAATTTTCACAGGCTAAGTTCTGGTGTCTCTTTATTATTATTATTATTCTTTTTTTTTTTGGGTATTACTTGACTGTGAGACTCTTGAGATATGAGGAATCTAGCCCCTTTTTTCTTTTTTTTCTTCTTGCGGGGGGTGGGGGTGGGGTTTGTTTTCTGTCTTAAAGGACAGATTATTTACCAATATCGAAATCAAATGGATCTGAATAGAGAAGTGAATATAAAAGACTCGCATAGTTTATCCTAATGGTATGGGTCCAAATTTGGTAACTACGGTAACGGATAAGCAAGACATAGGACGGGGTCCAAATGAAGGCCGACGACTAGAAGCAGGTAGCTGAGATAGGATAATAACGGTAACTTAAACTCAGAAATAGACAAGAAGAATATTCCTTTGGATATTCTTTATGTTGTACTTTTTAGGGTTTTTTGGGGAATGTCCCTTATAAATAGGAAGAGATGGGAACAAACAGGGACTTGCCCTTTTGGAGAACTGAGACATACTGTAAAGTTGAGAGAAGAATATACGAAAGAGTTGTCTTATTCATTTTATTCAAGCACATGTTGTTCAATCTTCATCCATAAATCTCAAGATCCCATACTCAGATTGACTACTTACCTTTCCACATCGTCAGAGAAAGGAAACACCCAATCACACAATCATTGGGTGACGATTCCTTTACACTATAACCATTGTCATTCTCGCATTTATTATACATTTATGATATTACATATCTTGCCAATCATAGCATATTAAATTCAATATTTAATGTTCCTAAACCCAATTCGTTATACAAGAGTTTTGTTTTACTTGGTCTAGGATTTATTAAGTTCAATTGAGATTCACTGTATTAATTTATTCTTAATTGGTTTAGCAATTATCTGCTCAAACAATTTGGCGTCGTCTGTGGGGAGCTTTTTAGTTGAAATTATAGTTCTTTCTAGATCATAAAAAAAAAGACATCTCTTCCTCGTTTGCACAAACTAATAATAGCAGGAAAAGGAGATGCGAGGTTGAAAGCGATAGCAGGTGTCACTACCAACATCTTGAACACCATCAACGAAGATGGCAGGGAAGACAACGAGAACGCGACACCAAATGCTACGCCCAGGCGAAGCGCCTCACCTCTCCCTCGCGAAAGCGTAACAGCTTCACGCGAAAGGGGAGCCTCCACGTCAATAACCGAGGAAGCACCACCGGCAGTGAAAAAACTACTGGAAGAGTGGCTGACAAGTACTCTAAACAACACAC